GAAAAGTTTTTGAACTAAATTGTAAATTGAAATTTCCGAACTTACTCTATTTTTATCTCCTCTGTGAATTCAATTTCGATCTGTTACTCTTGTTCCCAAATGTTTTAATCATGCCACAATTTCAAAGAATTAGCAATCTGTATAGGCAATTATGATTATTTCTGAAACATGGTTTATTATCAAGTTATGACTTATTTAATGATACATACATAGCGGAATTGTAAATAGCTGAATACTGCGCTGGAAAAAACGTGGAACGAAGCGGTAGTTGTGTGGTGTGAAACACTGTTCAAACATTTACCTAGAGGGATTGAGGAAAACCATGACAAATCTCATCATGATGTCCGCCCATTTGGACCCGGGTAAAATAAAATTGTCCATGTGCTTAATCAAATAAGAACCACGTTATGAAGGCGTATGGGGGAGTAAATGTATAGATCCAGGTTTTCTTGACCTATGTGCTAGCTAGAGGTGAGTGGTCAAATTCAGCCGAGGGGAAGAGCCCCCGGTAGCCATTGGATAAGATGCTGCGTGGGCCCCGGGAACCGGTCTGGATGACACAGAAAAATATTGTCCCTACTGGGACTCCGAACCCTTATTTTTCCAACCAGTCTCCATATCGACTGAGCAACACCTCTGCACCCGGGACCTTCCTAATATGAGTGTTACCGTTTGTGCGACGTTAACATTTTTCTAATCTGATGACAAGACACGACCATATTCTTGTATCTACCGCTTCTTCTATATCATGGTAACTACTTGCAACAGAGTGGAGCATTCATGTCTTTGTCCAGTAAACTACTCTCGTCATCATAGGCCAGAAGTTGGACTTGAGTTCTGTATTCTGGATGCAGTCCGTTGAAAGCCAAAACCGAAGTTTCGGAGGAACATGGAACCTCCATCTTCGTGGCCAAATAGTAAAAAAGAAACTAGCAAGAGACAGCAAGCTCAGCTTGCTACCTGCTTGGCTTATTCTTAGACCTTGAATATGGAGGCGACATGATCCTCCGAAACTTCGGTTGACTTCCAACGGACTGCATGACGTTATATCATAACTGTTCATAACCACCACTGCGAGAACCTCGAATCTCATACTGCTGCATCTTCTTCATGGCTTTCCTTAGGAAAAACGAAATTTTAAAGCACTGGAGAGAGAATTGGCAGAGTATCAGACAGACGCTTAGCAATACGAACCCTACTATAAGTTTAATTCAAACACATCTCAGTTATGTAGTCTAACTGATTAAATACTAGATTTAACGAGAATGTTACAAGCCTACAAAACTTATGTGTCATTTGAGGTTCCAACTGTGATTGTTCAGATTCAAGTCTTTTGGATTGATACAGAGTCGTCTTTAATTCCTCAACCATGAAGATGGAGGCAGCATATTCTCCCGAAACGTCTGTATCCGACTACATGAATATATGGCATCACAGCCTAGAGAGCCTCAATTTATGATGTCACTATGAGAGGTGCGTGACTATTTGACGGGTTTTGGATTGGATTTATTGCACTTATACCCTCAACCTGGAACAAGCAATACAGCATTACTCGTATAACCGACCTACACACTTTACAGTTCACTGTTACACACATACTAGTATTCTGCCTTCAATAGTCATCCTCGCAACTGACTTTAACACAATAGTTACACCAGTCTCACTGTAACTGCAGCACACATGAAGTCTTCTTTACACAGCCTAATTCCTTTCTTGCTATTTTTTCTCAATAGTCTTCACCTACCATCTCAAAGAGACTCACCCAATTCTATTTCAGCCATGCTGCATGATGTTTGTGGTTCACAGATCATAAAACAATCAAAGAAACAATCAGCATGATGTACATCGTGCACATGTATAATGCAAATTTTCAGCTTGATTCATATCTTATCTGAAATATCTGCTGGGATCAGTTGAGCAAGTGTAAGAGCACAAGAAAGTTCTAACGAGCCTGAAAACAAAATCGGGCCAACAAATGGGAACGCAAATCAATATTGAATTTCTGGAACACACAGCTCACATTATTCCAATTTTAACTCTAATCACTACCAGTTATGTAAATTTAATCAAATAAAAAATTAGTATAATGAAAGTTACTAAAAGGACTGAGTGGAACAAACTTAAAAAATTAGAACAGTGACCAATATTACTGTGTATAACAAGTTTCCTTTAATATTTTGATACTGAAGATTTTAATTTAATAAGTATGTTCATTACTGTCTGGAATAATAATGCAGGTAGTAACAAATGATGCTTGTAACATTAAACTCCCCAGCAATATTCTCATGTTTTGCTGAAAGAATAGTTGTGAAATGCATTTCTTAAGGCCCGTCTAACAAACCAAAATTAACAGCCATGGGGATTCATTGAGCTGACCACGCAACACCCTTCATCCACTAAAGCTGGCACTAACTTTGCAGACAAGTGACAGTCACTAGGTTGGTATAGTTCATTTGCAGACTAAAGCCATGGAGTTCATTTCTTAGGGATGAATCTAATATTATATTTTCATGTAGTTAGTTATTGGAGAGGGTGGGTTTCCCATGCACTGAGACCTGTATTGGTCCATTGTGCTTCCTTCTATGATTTCTACCAGTCTCTATATCCTACCGGTACTGGTGCTTACCATCAATCCCGCCCAGCCAGCGAGACTGGCTCTACTAGCTGAGAGGTATCTATAATGCTTCCCCCATCTACCAGAGGTATTAGAGACTGCTGTTGGGCGGGAAACGTCCGTTAATTTGGCTCAGTGACCTCCTTTGGAGATATGAGGTTCTTTTATGTGCCGTAAAGCTATGACACGGGACCCACGGCTTAAAGTCCCTCCCGGAGGACTTGTTCCCTGAATTTTTCCGCCCTTAAAAATTCGACGACCTCCGCCGGGTATTTGAACCCGCGTACTACGAGTCATGAGGTGGGAATGTTACCTCTAGACTACAGAGGCCGCTTATTTTCATGTAAGTCTATAAATTAGGAGATACAAAAGTAATGTCAAATAAAATGTAAATTTAACACAGAAAAAATAACTTTATTATATCCTCAGACTTCAAGCAAATTGCAACATGAATGTACTTTGCATTCTTTTCCCTTAATCTCATAACTTATATCTACAGTATGGCCACACATTACCTAATGGACCCCACAAATTATATTTAGTCAATATATCATTATCTTTGGATATTTCCCACTGCTTGGTCAAAATAAGGCACTTAAAAGTTACATCTCAATACTAAAATTATGCATGAAAGAATTTGTGTGTCCATACTCCTACTACAGTTAAGTCCTCTCTGCTCCTAGGAGAACAGTGAGGGCATGGGTCTGGAAAGTACTACCTGTTGCAAAGTGCACTGAATGATTAAGTTTCAGGTGTACTCAGTGTAAAATCATACAGGCAGAGATGTGCTGAGAGCTGCAACAAAATCTTTCTCAACATTTAAGGTTGACACATTGCAGGGTGACTGCCCTGCAAGGAATATACAAGTTGGTATATGAAAAACTTGTTCCTCTGACAATACTGCACCTCTTATATTATCATGGATGGAAAGGAAGTTCTGGATCACAGGTGTTGAAATGATGTAGGAAGTCTGAAAGGATTATTTCCAATAAATATTAACAACAATCACATACAAACATTTTGTAAGCTATTGAATTGATACCTTTTTACAAATATTTTACATCTTTATACACAGTATTTTTTATCTTATATATTTAATATGAAACCAGCTGACATTTAATGATTAATATAATAAAAAATTGAAATTCACTCTTTTTAAACTTGTTCAGTCAGTCCTTAATGTGAGAATATTTTTCTCACTTTACATGATTCATTTTTAGTTTCATAAAAAAGTATACTTACAGTATTACTTTGTTCACTTTTTCTAGTACTGCATTAGTTAAATCTGTAGCAAGTTATAGCACAATGTGCATAGCAGAAAACCTCTTCCTTAAATAAATATGCAAACCATTACTTATCTTGGAAATTTATAATATATTTTTGTGCAGGAGACAGTCCTAGTATGGCTATAGAAAAGTATGAAATGTCAAGCAAGAGTTAATTAAATCTGTTTATTGAAGCTGAGGTTAACCTGATATGCACAATGCTAGAAATGATCTCTGGCCTGCAGATTACTAATCACAGGTCAAGAATATTCTTAGTACAGCCAAATGCCAGTTTGTTACAAACACAGTGAGCAAGTTCAGTATTTCATGAAAGGAATTTTAAAAACAAATTAATAAACAGAAACACCATTTTTTAAAGATTATTCACAATTTTATAAACACCGACACCACATTTATTTCTGTCTCACACTGATTGCACAGACACTGTATAAATGCCAACAGAGCAATAAACATTTAACAGATTGTTAACAATCATTCCACATCAATCATTTATATTATTGCTTTCGTTATTCGACTTAATATAATAATCAATGCATATTATATACAACCGCAACATGGTACTTCTTTTAAATAAATATTGTCATTAGTACAGTTCTTTTATTTTTAAGCTGCAGGAAGAACTTGAAATTTCAGAGAAGTCAAATTATATTTAACAGGAAATATGGCCACACTTTATGAAACTCTGCAACACAATACAGGGTAGGATTATGTTACCAAATTATAAAATGGTTCTTTTTAATTTTTCACAGATTTTCCAGTATTTCTAAATAAAGTGTGAAACAAAAATATAGTTCAAAACTCCTTTCATAACAAACTGATCTTGCTCTCATCTGAAATCAAACTAACAGTAACAAGATTGTGATTGTTAATTCTGAGTCTGATGGTTGTCACTTTTCACAACTTTAATAAAAGTGCATACATGGTTAGATTTATCAACATTCCCCATTTTATTAATGGGCCTGGCTTCATAACTGTTTCTCTCTTTGTAGTGGCATAATATTTGTTGATTTGGCATCTTGGAAGTACAATACTCTTCCTGCTTCTTAATCTAGTACAGAATGCTTTAGCAGTAAAAATTAATGTTTCCACAATTTTGTTTCCCATTAAAATACAAGGGCAACCAGATGTATCTTAAAAATGCAGTTCAAGATGAATTTCAATAACTACAAAAATTACAGACAGGTTCACCTGGCTGAGCATCTGCAACTGTTATGTAGAACCTGTGATACAAATTCAAGCGTAGGTGATTGGGCACAAGTAACTGAAAAGGCTAAGCTCACTTTAAGGCTGTTTCATAATTTTCCTTAAACACATATGGTATGATACTGTACCTTTAACAAAAGCCACTAGACCACCCTCCTTTTTATTTATTGAGATACAGTATCATTCCCATTGTTTTCTAGCCTCAATACAAGATAATACAATAAGAATTAGAAGATAAATATTTTATCAATATATTATGGCAGTGGAAAAAAATTAGAAAGAGAATAAAACAGTTTTATATAAAACATATTTCATACCAGTATTATGGATGTGGAACACAGGCATGGACCAAGAGGAATGCAATCCATGTATATAATATTTAGTTTAATCTTCTCATACCTACTGAAAATCAATCCAGAATTTCCAAATGCATGCAAGATCAGAACAAAATTTCCATATAGGTACATTACAACTGTTTCTTAATTACATTTACTTCAAATTTCATTCAGCTACATAGTCATCACCTGATCAGACATATCCACTGCAACCATCAAATTATTTAAATGAGATAAACACACCACATATGCTGTTAAAATTATATTTAAGAGAAATGTTACTGGATTAACATGATGGGTACAATGGGGGGGGGACAGGCATAAATGACACCATTAGAGGAAACATTACTGATATTAAGAATACAGTCAAAACAGTGACAGGATGTCAAGAACAGATTTACACACAATATAAAGTCAAAGATTATCCATGGAGACCAAAAATGTAATGATACATCCAGATGAAATAGGATATGAAATAAAGAATAGTGTGCAGCAAATACAAGAACAATAGTTGTGGCAGGAAAGTTAAAACAGCCTTTTGAGTGGGTCTGTAAAATCTTAATTACTCCTGGATGCTGAGGATTAATCTCAGTACCTTGTGAGGACCCTCGGCAAACTCATAACTGGCAGTTCTTCCTAAGATTAAAAAATAGACGTTTCTGACAGACTTAAAGGGAACTCCTGATCACAGACTCTATTACATATCCTTGGCTCTTGAGATGTATCAAATGTTCTCCTGAATACTGCAGCAACCACCTTCGAGGTGACGGATTGCCTGAAGGAGGCTGTGAACTGAACCTAGATAGGCACTGACTTACTCAGAGTTGGTGGAAGCAATGTTCCATGAAATGCTGCACACATCTAAGCAGTCAACATAGCCTAAGACCAAAATGCAAAGGATCCAGAAATTATCATTTTATCCAATATTTTAAGTTCTGACAGATTCAAATAATTTGGTAAAAGTGAATTCTTATTTCAATGACGTCAGTTCAGTGTTACCATGATTTATGAAGCGATTCTTACAACTGCTGCATAATACAAATAACAGTCTATGCCAGTAGAGCAAGAATTTACTTTTCTTCCAGAAAATGTTAGTGTAGTTGTAAAATGAAACCATGATACATCTCAACTTCATATACCAATTAATTTCCTCTACTTCAATGTAAATGATTCCTGCCAAAAATGATATAATGGTGGTTGCATCACCCCACTTGAAAATATATTATGTGCCTATAATATTTCTTCAGAGTGTGAAAAGCATATCATTCTCCAGAAATAAACGAAACGACATATGCCATTATAAAAATCAAATACTCAAAACCAGTGGTTTACTTGGTCACAGCATTCTGTTAGGGTTACTTATCTTTTTAGAAACATCCACTGTTATTGGACACTTATATTAATCCGCAATCCTTTGTGGCAGTGAAAAAGATAGTCCTACCAGTGTCTTGTATGGCAGCATGATGATACAAAGTTCACAGAGGACAGTTAGCTGCATGACGCTTATAGGTTTGTTTTTTGTTTTCTTCTTATACATTTATTTGTCATTTGTTATAATTAACCTGTCACTTATACAATCAGTGTTCTCATCATTAACCATTTTTCTTTCATCAGTTCCTATGATATTTACTCCAGAAATGAAAAATTTTGCTAAAAAATAAATATAAAGTAAACAGGGCCCAAAACAGGTATGGACAAATATTTGAAAGTGAATAAAATGTCCATGGACTTAATGTCCAGCAACCTACAAATTTCAATGCTTCCTGAACGAGCTGCTGTGAAAACAAAATGTACATTGCAGTAGAATCTATCACAGCCTTTGACTCAAAAGTTGACGATCAGTTCACCTTCAGAATTCTTATGAATTTCAATACTGTCTCCAGTGTGTTAAATGCAGCATATTATTGCCTGCAAGCTTGCAACCACAATACGCAACATGCTACATTCTAACATATTCTGCTGTTCAGTCACATTTCTTGCGCAACACACTGTTAGCTGGGCTAATAGATTAATTGCAATGTAAGTGCCCAAATAATATTAACAGTGCATACACAGTAGTAATCTGTTATGAAAGGACTATGTAATTTGGTGAGAAAATAATTATTTTGACTGCTAATTTTTTTACTGGACTTATGAAACATTTTTCTTTTGATAATATTTTTCTAACATCTTCTTTGTAACAGGTAAAAGAAAATATTTTCAATCCAAAAACTGGCATCTGTTTGTTTCAAATAAATAAATAAAAACACTTCAACATTCTCACAGAAAACATTTCCACACAATTGCTTTACTAATTAAAAAACATTTACAATGCACAAATTTCTGTCATTCATTATTTGTTTCCTTATGATCATATTCAAAGGATTTTGAAATCAAGGTCCTTCATACAAAAATTCTAATTTTATGTAAATTACAAATAACAATGCATGATCATGATCAGTTGGTTCCAAAGCTTAGTGGAGCATGCTATGCAGTTAGATCTATGTTGCATATCAGCAACACTGACACACTCAAATCAGTTATTTTCCTTGCTTTCATTTTTAAAGAAGTACTGAATAATTTGCTGGGTCAATTCATCTGATAGCAAAAAGGTATTTACACTGCAAAACAAAATTGTTAGAATCATGATGGGTGTCAAATCCTGTAATTCTTGTAGAAATCTATTTCAGACTGGAGATCTTAACCCTTCCATTTGAATATATATTTTCATTAATAAACTTCATCACAAACAACGAAAAACATTTTCAGACCAATGTAGATGTACACAGTGTTAACACAAGACAAAAGCACTATCCTCATAAACCAACTGCTAACCTCTCATGCTTTCAGAAAAGCGCATATTATGCTAGGATCAAAATTTTCAATAATCTGCCATCTGATCTCAGAAGTCTTATGAATGAAAAAGCACAATATAAAATAGCTTTAAAATGATACTTAAACACACACTCATGCTACTCTCTTAATGAATATCATTGTCTAAAAAGTGACTCATCCATTTAAAGGTTGTGTAAATAGCATAATTTGACAGTATTGATGTATGTGGATGCATTTTTGAATAGCCTTATGTGTAACCACTGTTTTCTTATGTAAAAACTTCAGTTGTACTGTACATTATGTTTTTGTATTTACATAACATATTCCACATCCTACAGTCACTTTTACTTTGGATCCAGACAATGATGTGAATATCCATTCAAATTTCATTAATATTTTAACTTCTATAATGTAACAATTTATACTGTCATGAGATAATTTTCTTTGAATATTTTCCAGTGCCTGAATGAATATTATAAAATGTTTCACAACACTGGCTTTGCCTCTGTCTATCTATGACAGGGTCTGCCCATGAAATTCATTACATTTTTCTGCCAGCCATTGGTAAAAACCATGTATAACCATTACACTTTACAGTCGTTAATTCTGGGTGAACACTGAAAAGACTTTTTAAGTTTTGAGGTTTTCACGGCGATGACTATGACGGTGCCACATCCCAGAAGACAACTTTCTTCACTGAAATGACTTCTCAAACTGCCAAGTTATGTAATACACTACTTTAGTTCCAGTGAATTCCAACAATACAGAAAATAGATAATGTTGTTTATGAATGTACATTTATTTCCTTATAACAGATTCTCCAGTGAAAATTAAGTTATTCCTGATCAACACACATTATGTCCCAGAAGAGTTATAAATATTCTAATTCATTAAGAAACCATGTTCACTGTTATTGATTTCAGCTGTCATTATGGGCTTCATATTTACAGTTGCAGTCCAAACTACAAACCACACACAATGCACAACATGAAGGACAAAACTTGCCTAGGCCCCATAAAATAGATAGTAATGCAATAATCCAGGTTATGAAACAAATTCACTGCCAGCAACATGCGAGCACTTAAATATGGGATAGAAATTCAGGCATACTTCCATCTGTTATTTTTATTCTTACAAACAGTTAATGAAGAAATGGGAGGTTACAATGATATGTTTTGAGGACATTTTTCTTCATTTAGCAAGATCCATGACTTGGAAAACAAACTGGAATATATCTACACAATTATGCAATGCACTATGTATTCACATACACCTTTTAAGGTGAGGCAACTGAATGCATGAAAAAAAGGAAATGTTAATTCCATACTTTTGCAAACACTGTGTACAACTTCTGTATCTCAAAGCATTTCTGAATTAAGTATCTGGATATATTGATGAAGCACTGTACAGATTTCCTGGCAGCAGGAAAAAATTGAATTAAATTTCATCATCAGAAATTTGCAAAAACTAATCATCAGAATTTCACTCTGTGAAGTTCCATTTTAAAATCTCTTCATATGGCGCCTTTAGATTCAAATGGACGTTTCATTCTGTTAAGTTCTGTATTGTATAACACACACACACACACACACATGTATAAAAATAAGACATAATCCAGGATGTTTTCAAGTTGTATCCAGCCAGTATCTTGGCATATGGGCAATCAGACACATTTTGAGGGAACACATCCATCAGTTGGCAGTATTATGTGACTATGAGAATAGGATCTGTTACAAAATAAAATGTAATATTTGTATAGTAATTGAACCAAGACGGCAACTGAAGGTAATATACAAATAATTACTAATGAGTGTGTACAGTGTTCGTGAAAGTTAAATTTACAGTAAAATAATATGTTTCTATGTTTCTACTATGCATTTACTTTACAAACATTCTCTGTTTGTTTCTCTCTTGTAAAACCAAGACAAGTTTACAGATATTTCATAAAATGTTTTGTCATGTACCGTTAGGTCCTTTCATGATTACAGAAAAGGGTACCATGAGTGTATAAGGAATGGCTCTTTTCCAGACTTCCTCCATGAAGGTTCACCATTATGCAGAATGAACCAATGACACTATTGGCACAAAATAATGCAAATTATATATACGCTGCGGGAGGAAGTTCACGATGACCGTACTGAATTGTACTCACCCCCTGATGCGCTTTCAAAATAAATCTTAAAAGATGCTTCTCACAGTCATTTCCAAACCTTGCCTCCATACACACAAATATTGCTTTGACTGAGTAATCTTGAAACAATAGCACTTCATTGGTTTACCACTGCAGAGACTTTCTACACAAAAATAAAATAACACAACGAGAGAGAAAACACTGAATATCATTTTACTGAAATATTTCTTCCACAGTCTTATTTCACTCTCATGGCACTGACACAAAAATACAGCATGTAAGACACACATGCTATTAATGAGTTATCCATGATTGGATCATTCACAGGCAGAAATCACTCAGTATATTTCTTCCAATCATCGGGCTTCTGGTCTAATGCGAACAGAACATGTTTCTTGTTATCCCTTTGGCAAGTTGCTGCATCACTCCTGATGTGAGGATTCACACTTCAAACACAAAAGTTTTGAATTCTCTCGCAAGGGAGCATACTTCAATTTGCGTAAATATTTATAACAACCAGAAATAAAACCATGCACACAACTGTCATAAATTTTTCATCTGGCAAATGTTGAACAAATCAAATGCAGACTTCTTTCCACAGCAATTAAGCTGCAACATCAGCTTCGTTAAATCACACTTACCTTACGGTCAAATGTGGCCCGTGCTCATCTTAATAGGTGGAGGGACATCAACAAAGATCATTTTACCAGTTAATAAAAGTTAGTTTAGATTTAAACTAAGGATATACACCGGGTTTCTGACACTGATGGCTTTTGCGTTTAAGAAATTTGATATATGCTCTAAGCCAAATTATCACATTTAGATCTCCATATATTTGCCTTAGTTAACAGTGCAGACCGTCCACTAGATAAACAGGGAAAAACACTAATGGAAGATTAGCCAAGGTTAAACCAGAAAACCTTCTGAGAGATTAGCTGTGATCTGTGCCCTCATTGCTTGCACACTGTTCATTATCTTCTTCTGATGACCTACTAGAGTGATGCCAAGTGCAGTAAGCTCTTTCACTGTAACTCTCACTACAGCATCCATGGACGTTATTCCTGCACGCTCAAAGTTTTCAAGGTAGCGTGCCATCTTGATTGAGTTCAGCCACTCTTCTACTGAACTAAACTGGGTCATATCTGGAGCATCTGGTGCCAGTGGGTTGCCTGTCCTGGTTCAAGAATGATAATGTTATTAGTTTAACTAGAATGTTAAGACAAGTGAAAATTTCTGCTAGTAGTATTTCAATGGAATAGTGAACAAAGACAGTGAACTGAAGGTCAAAATTCCTAAGTCTCACCTCTGTTTGATCTCTCGGCCAATACAGTAAGCAGTGAAGAGACATACAGTACTATATGTAACCACCAAGAGGGAGAATGTCATAGCCTTGAACTGTTTACATTTCTGCCAGAAGCAAAACATAATTTCAGTTCTTTATAAATATACTTCATTAGATCATTACTTCCCTCAAAGTTAATACACTTCTGGTCATCTTTCAATTAATTTTTGGGCACTTACAGGCTCTTCCCTTCATCATATTTATTTATTATTTTTTCTATATTATCGTTTAAAGTTTCTCTTCCTTTTCTTAATGTGAACTGACAAAATACCTATTAGAAAATAATTTCTGCAGCCAAATTTGAAATTAATATGGCACTGACTATGAAAATACTGTTTTCTGCGATTTGACATTACATAGCCCACCCTTAAGAGAGAGACAGCATGTTTCAGTGAAACATCTACTACATCACATGTTGTCACATCCCAGAAGACAGTTCCTCAAATTCTAATGGAAATCAGGGCACAACTACAGCTCCTTCCTTAAATATAATTCTCATCTCACCGATGAATGCCAGTAATGTGATGGTTTATATCCAGAAATGAAGCCAGTATAACATGACTTAAAAAAGTAGGGCAACAAACATCACATTCATTGCCACATATAGCTGTTGAAGGTTTCTACATAAATTATAAATGTAAACACTCTGCTACATAAATACCAGCCTGATAAATGAATATATAACTGTGTATCAGTCCATTATTTATATAGATTGTACGTTTTGCTTTTACCAAGACAAAAGGACAGTGGTTTATTAGGGGATAGGGTTTCATGTGGCTTCACCTAAATGCAAGAACTCCACCTACAGCTAACTAAGTACTACTTTCAACTGCTTTCTCTAGTATCAGCAATGATAATAAACTGTATGAGCATTTTAAAGTCAGTACCATAGTTCATCTTCCCAAATACTGAAAAGAGTCCAAATACTGAAAGGAGTACTGGTCTCCTCAGCCCTGGGGGCTGATGGTGGTGAAGATTAAGGAAACAGAACTTCATACTAACCCACACCACTTGTAGGTAAGTACAAAAAACTACAACTCACCTTCATACTTAGTCAGACAGTAACTAACAGAATCAAGCCACACATCACAGATGTTGAACACCTGATATGGTACCATTCCCTGCTTTCATTAATGAGTTCAGTTGCAAGTCTCACAGTAAACTGTGACTCTATTAAATGCAGTATTACAAAACAGTATTATTACTGACAAAATACACACATACATAAAGATACCCAAGAGAAATGAGCCACTGTATATATCATATATTTATCAACACATCTGTTATTAATTCAACTGAACTGCTTTAACTCTTTGGTGAACTACAAATAAATGGCAACTCCAGACAGTCATTACACGTATCAGTATTTACTAATTAAATAATATTCAGCAAATAATGAATATAAATTACATCATATTGAGATAGCTCAAGAGATGTCTCTATAGTAATACACAGTTCTCTCTTTGGCAGTAAATTGAGATTTTACAAGCGTGGCCGGTGCATAAGGCTGACAACCTTACTGTCATCTTTGAGCCGATTGTCTAGATGATGTAGGACCCTCAACGTCTCACAACCCTATGGGCCTTCATGGCCTGGTACAGGGATAGCTTTACTTTTACTTTACTTTAGGAATGCAGAATATAAACTTAGAAAGAGTTGGAACGCATGATTTACCTTACATAACATCGCTATAACCCATCACATAACAGACACATCATTTGTAATGTTAGTCAGTGAAGTAACCTAGATTTAAATCTTGGCAGACCTTTCTGATCAGATAAAAAAAAAGTCCATTTTCTTGAGATACAGAACACACAAACACTGTGTCACATCTTTTCAACACAAAACAATCTTAGAGATAAAACTCTGAAGCAGCTAAAAACTAAGCCACAATCCTAAGCACACATAGCTAAGCAGAGCATTGCAGCATGCAGTAAAATAAGAGAGGAACAGCAAATTTTCAAATATTGATACAGTTATGTACAAGTCACAGGTAACATGAGAGACGGTAATCATGCTGGGGGGGGGGCACAGGGAAAATGGCTCTTCATGGTAACCATTCTTTGAGTTTTGCACCTTTCAGAGAAACAATAAAATTGAGTCACACTGTGGCAAATAGTAGAGCTAACTTTTCAGGAAGTAATGTTCTGACAAGCTTCAAAAAATGAGTCACAAAGTGAACAGCACTTAACACTTAACTCCAAAGAGCAGAACTGTTCCTGACCACATGTTAATTGTTGCATATATCTCCCAGGTGGGCAAGTACCTTTAGATTTTCCAACTAAAATCTTGAATGCATTTCTCATATACCACATGCATACTGCATCCTTAGCCACTCATTTTCTTGATTTATCTTAACAATACAATAACAGTATTAGTTGAAATTACGAATCCCTTCATCATGTATTTTTCTGCAGCCTTCTATTACTTCCTTTCTTTTCCAAATATTCTCCTGGCAACCTGTTCTCAACCACCCACAACAATCTACATTCTTCTCCTGGGGTGACAGGCAAGTTCCATGCCCATACAGCACCTCTCAGGCCCAAATATTCTCCTTTGCACCCTGTTCTCAAACACTCTGAATCTAAGTTTTTCCTTTAGGGTGAGGGACCAAATTTCACATCCAGAGAATATGACAGGTAAAATTACAGCTTCATATATTTCAATGCTGACATTAGTAGAAAGGAGACAGGATTATATAAATGGCAGAAGCATCCTCCAACTTTGCTCATAAGTGTTATTTTGATCTACTACTGTCATTCCCAAATATCTGAACTTGGCCATATTTTCAAGGTTTTATGTATTAACTGTCTTTGTATTATAGTCCTGCCCTACATTTCAGTAAGACATGAACATATATTCAGTTTTCTCTGTTTTTACATCCCTAATGTCCTCCTGACTAGCATCTAACAGAGCTTCTACACATATGTTTTCACTAAATTAACATGAACACTACAAACTAGAAACTGGTATGTCTCATATTCTTGGACCTCCCTAATGGTGTATTCTAAAGCAAAATATTCTTACAGTAGCATGCACTACACAAAGTGTACATCTTGTTAGTTCAGGAAAAATACACAAAATTTGATTGTCACAAATTCTTCAATTACTAATAAGTTAAGATACAGAAATGATATCACCAAATGCACTGCACTGTAACATTTCTTACACTACAGTGATACTTGGAGAAGCAGGTTGGACCTCACTCTCAAAAATCATCAATGAATTAAGTACTATATTAATATAAGAAGAAAAATATGTTTACCACCTTTCTGTTCCTGATTAAAAATAATTCGTATTGCCAGGTTTAATTTTCGATCAGTTTCTTTTTGTAATTAAGAAGAAGTAGATTCTGAAATGAACAACAAATCTCACTCAATTTGGTGTCGGTTCAGTTGCAATACACACCTGTGAGACATGAGGTTCTTATGATGCTGAAAATTAAGATTATGATCTTCCAGAATGTGGCATCACATACCTGGCTGATAGGTACCAGTGTTTCTCAGGAATATACCGCCTCCATCCTCAGGGTAGAAGAATGAGCAGAGTGCAGGAAATTGATATAATATAAGGGAAAGGATGGGCCAGTGTTATTAGCAAACTAGTGGCAACTACCTACAGAATTACATGGGCATCTCATCCCAGAAGACCATAACCTTAATTATACACATCTCTTTATGATTAAAGACATAGCACGAAACATTCAGAGTCTAGTAACGGCTTATAAATTTGAGTGCTTTATAACAGTCAACCTGCTTCGAACTGATCTACATACAATGCGAAAATGAAGGGGCCACATGAGGGTGTATTCCCTACCTTGCATTCTTTCTTGGAATGTTTTCACCAATGAACCCATCAACCAATCACCAAAGCATACTGATTATTCTACCCCAGGCGGCAGTTGATTAAACGCAACCCATTGTGGTGTCCGAATGGCTGCGGGTATGTAATAGGGGTTATGGGGTGGTGGGCGCCTGCAGCCACAGCCCCAGCAATCAAGGGAGATGGAAACAGAGATGCACCCCCACATTAATAAGGTGATCAAAATTAAGCAGTAACTTAAACCATTAAAGCAGAACTGCCATCCTTGAGAAAAATTTACCAACATTCAAGTTACATGCTGTGGAATACCTTGTAACAGCTCCACAGATCTGTAACAATTTCCTCCATGCGTCAGAGATGTACTACACATTAGCAACACTTGGATATTAAACAAGCATAAACCTACCTCATTTATCTGTTAAGAGAAACATTAAATTTAAGGTGATCCATTCTAAATATACATATTTTCATTCTAAATGGTTGGTTCTTCTCTGATCTCCCAAACTTGTTTACTCTTTTCCTGATAATAGAGTGCTTAAAAACTTTGTAAAAAGTTATAAAAGTACTTATAATTATTGATTTAAAATATGGCTATTACTGTAAATGCAGAAAAAATATTTTGACATTATTTACATGCATAGAAGAATGACATATTTGTGATCAATAGTACATACAGTGTTAGATCAGGATTTTCCACATTAAAAGTGTTCATTCCCTGTATCAAGATACAGTACTCATTGTTTTCTCTTTCATTCCATAAGTATGGAATTGTAACACAGTATACTCCTAATTGTCCCACATTTGAATTACACAGCTTGCAGGTTATGTGTGATTTATATCTAAATTTTCGTTCCTTGTTCAGTTTATTGAAGGTTTATATAGTTGCACATTATTACACATAAGCTTTCAACCTTCTGCCATTGTTACTGTTATATGATTTTTACTTTCAAATTTTACAATCCTGCTTATGAGGCTGTAACACAACAAAGAGAGAAGTGAACACTGAACTC